CCAGAGAGCTGACAGGACACTTAAGAAAGAGAATGACATCTAATATTCTTTTTGAATAGACCTTGTTTTATTTTAGGTAAATAAAAACAGTTTAGTGTAAACTGCTTGTGAGGCTCATTTGTTCTAGTAGATTGTAAAAGAGAGAAGGTTACGGTCCATTGAGGCCCCCTCCATCACAGATCTGACCTGGGGCAATGGCGCGCATGCTAGCAGAGAGGGCTCTGCGTGCCACTTCTGGCACGCATGCCATAGGTTCGCCATCACGGCCATAGACCATAGGCCATAGTAGTGAAATTCATATTTTGGTAGCATTGTGGATGTTTAACATTCTCATATTCTATGGAGAGGAGACCTCAACAACCTTCTTATAGTACTCATTTAACTATTCTATTTATACCATTATAAATTCTATAACATATGGACATATTATTTTTTTAAAATTTCTTTTTCTGTCACCTTTATTATATTTAAGAATAACTCAAAATGGTGAACATACCTAATGCTCCCTTCTCCTATTTTCCTCACAACAACAACCTGTCAGGTGAGTTGATAGGGCTGATAGAAAGTGATTGTCTCAAAGTCAACCAGCTGACTTTCATGGTTAAGGCAGTACTAGAACTCACAGTTTCCTAGTTTCTAGCCTGGCAGTACCATGCTATAAAACCATCAAACCCCTCCATCATAAAAAAAATCTGAGCAAATATTTTAACTCAGATGATTTTGGTTATATTTCAGATCACACCAGCTTCCCTCTAGCAAAGGAATTTATTCATTTGGAAAGTTGATATCTTCTGATTCCTACTTGGGAAAATAGGATTATAATAGAGTCTTTCAGAGCTACCTTCAAGGACCTCTTCTTCCCATTTTACGATTGCCATATCTGGCTGAATGGCCTTGGAATAAAGAAGTGGATCATCATTATCATATATACTGTAAAGGCTATATACTGTTAATCTCTTCCACTTTGATGATTAGAAAATACCAGAGCAATACAACAGGCCTTCTAAAAGTATCTCTCCAAAATATGGCAGTATGCCAGGCATTATCAATCTACAGAGAAAAAAGTAAGAACACAGCTACTTGAAAAAAAATCTTACTTTCACTGCTGAATATAAATTATGAACATCAGATATTAAAATCTAATGCTTAGGACATCTGACTTTTAACTGATACAATGTTATTTTTAATTTCAGGGATTTATTTTTCAAAGGTTGCTAGTGCTGAAGTAGAGAAGGAATAATCCTAATATAACTATTCATTCCCCCCTACCCACCCACCCCCCAAATTGTTTATCTTCTCTTAACATTGAAACATTGAGACATTTGCCTGGAGTCCGAGATTGGAGGACTATAACTTCTGAACAGACTGTCCACAAAGATCAAAAGAACAGTGTCATGTTCCTGCTATTTTCCCGCTGAAAGAAAACAGATGAATTTATTCCTCATCTGTACCATACTGTATATATCTGACTAGCATAAATGTGTTGAACAAAGATTACAATAAAGCTAAAGTTTAATATATTTCTTTGTAAAATACATGTAAAATAAGACTTTTTTTTTTTAAAAAAAAGATATATTCCTATGTGCAATTTATGTTGCAGAAAGAAAGTTTACATTAGAAGGCAGGAGGAATGGAAAAAATATATTGCACCATTTCTCTCTAAACGTGTTTACCTAACCCAGAGAAGGATTGGGTAATAAAAATTAATAATAGGTCTATAAATATAAACATAGCCTAAAATGCACAGCATATCTAATACAATGGAGAGACACACTGTATATTTTAGCTCAAATTATTAAAAACCAATTGATAATGATTTGTCAATTTCCAGTGACTATATATTTATTTCTGTCTTAGGGTTAGGGCTTGGAAATAATAAAAGTGCAGCTGTATACCAGGGTACCCTAAGGGAGGTCTTTCTATTCAAAGCAGAATGATAACCAGTTGCATAAGCAATCCTAATCCTAAATTAATCACAGAGAACAATAGTTTAGAGCAGGGGTCTCCAATCTTGACAACTTTAAGACTTGTGGACCTCAACTCCCAGAGCTGGCTGAGGAACTCTGGGAGTTGAAGTCCACTAGTCTTAAAGTTGCCAAAGTTGGAGACCCCTGGTTTAGAGGCTGTAACTTCCACCATTCTTAGCTGGTGCTCATTAGGTTAGAGCAGGGGTGTCAAACTCACATCATCACGGCAGCATCATGTGAAGTATCAGGACTTCCCCCCCCTTTGCTAAACCGGACAGAGGAGTGGCCAGCGCGTGACGCATTCGGCCCATGGGCTGGGAGTTTGACAGCCCTGGGCTAGAGTTCTTTGCAAAATGCAACAAACTGAACTTAACTGGTGCTTGTCAAACTTGACCAGGATGTAAAGTCAAGGACTGTCATGCCCAAGATGTCTATACCTTGTAAACATTTCAGCATTACTCTGTTTTCTGATTTTGAAGCTGCTAGTGGTGTTCTCAATGCAGGCTGAGTTGCATTTTTCCTTTGAAGAGTGTTCTTCAAAGGCTCATATGATAATACACTTTAGATTCTACTAATCAGAGATCTATGTTTGAACTACCATTAAACAACTTACAGTTTTCAACAAGCTGACTAATAGACTACTGAGATTTCCAAATTCATTAGATAATGGATATATTTCTTAGCCTAAGATATGTGTATGGATTGAACCACTTTGAAAAGTTCCTTGTTAGTTTGAGAGATCTATTATCCACTTGCAATTCAAGCTTATATTATCCACTTGCAATTCAAGCTTATATTATCCACTTGCAATTCAAGTTTATATTTCTATATTATTCAACTGGTTTTATTGGATTGTTATCTAACTGGTGAGCCATCCAGAGTCACTTCCCAGAGCTCCTGATCAAGAGGCAAAGCCTTAGTGATACGAAGTAGACTGCAATCACTTGAAGGATTTTCCTACTGCCACCCTTTAGTTTCAGTTTGAAAGACTCTGGTCTTGAGCATGCACATAGGAATAGAAGGAATCTTTTAGCTCTTCTCTTTCCAGTTATGTTTATTGCTTCCTTTACCGAAATGGGAATAGATGATGGAAGAAATGCAAGTTTCTATATCACAGTGATTGAAAAAAGGCCAAAAAAGGATAGTGATTTTATCTGTGGGATTTTTTATAGACAGAATATTTTCTCTTTCTCTTTATAGTCTAACATAGGGGTCCCAACCCCCAGTCTGTGGACCAGCACCGGGCCACGGCATGCCAGAAATGGGCCATGCAAACAATCTGTGAAATGCAGACAGCACATGAAACCACACCCCTTCTGATCCGTGGAAAAACCTCTCTCCACGGAAACGGTCCCTGGTGCCCAAAAGTTTGGGGGATGCTGGCCTAACATGTCTAAACCAGCTGACTGAATAGTAGGACAGAAGGCACTTTTTTTGGAACTGTACTTATGACATAGAATGCAATTCTAAACATTTTCTTCCCTTGCCCTGCATCACTGCTCAGTAATTCATTTTTGCTGATGTTCAAATTAATTTGCATAGAATTGCACCTTAATCACTGATATTAAGTCTCCCTTCTCTAGACTTGACTTCCACACTTCTATTGACTGAGGTAGGACAAGCAAGTTAAGATGAGCAAGCTTATTCAGCACATTTAAATGCTGTACATAAAATAGCATACTTATGCTAAAGATGAATTTAATAATAATTATACATATTGGGCTTGTTTGATTTGTTATGTGAAAATGAAAAGTGAGATTTTTTTTTTCATGTATTATTAAAAGATGGGAATTGATTTCACAGTGCTGAATTTTCAATAATCAAAGGAATAAACAGAGCAATAAATAGAACTATTTAATTTTCTTTGAAAATACATAATACAGTCAAGGGTTCCTTTGAATAGACCTGACTCCAGATGACTTCATGGATAATTCATGTGGTTTTCTTGGCAGTATAAAAAAGTAACTCTCAATTTCCTTCTGGGATTTTTTTCTCCTGACATATTTTTTTTAATAATAACTTAAAAATGGTAAGATAAAAACTAACAAGATAACTAACAATCAAGAAAGAAAATAAAAAAGGAGGAAGAGTGAAGAAAGAAATAGCACACAGAAGTGCAGCACAATAAAAAATATTGAAAGGAACAAAAATACGAAAGTAATTACTTCTGACTTCTTTTATAGCAGATATAAATAAAACTTACATTCAACTCCTGCTCTGTGATTACAATGTAACATTCATTTCTTTTATAATCTATGAACATTATTAGCCCCTAAATCCATATAACTTTTTTTTCTATTTCATACAAAAAATCCAGAAGAGATTTCCAATTAACTTTAAAGTTAATCAATGTCTAATCAAATCTATCAGTTTCACCATCGCAGGCAATTCCATCAGTTTTCCCAACAATTTTTCCACTGTAGCTATTATTTAGCCTTTCTACCTTTGGGAATACAAAAGTCTTGCTACCATTATCAAGTACAGGAACAAAATGCCATGTAATTTTTCCAATTTTTTTTTATCCATCAGCCCTAGCAGAAATGTCTCTGGTTTTAATTGTATATTGACTTTCAACATTTTCTGAGTTAATATACTTATTTGAGTCCAGAACTTTTAAAGCTTTTTTTACAAGTCCATGAAATGTTGAAATCTGTTGTAGAATCCGTCTCTACATCAGGGGTGGCAAACTCATGGCATCATGGCATCATCACGTGATGTATTTCCCCTTCGCTAAACTGGGTGTGGGCGTGGCCAGTATGTGGCCTGTGGGCTATGAGCTTGGCAGCCCTGCTCTACATAGTAATACATGTCACTTAAAAGGTTAACTAGCCAGGAAAGAACTTGCTAGCCATTGGGATCTGATACAACTGCAGGGCAAATGCAGTTGCAATGTCACAATGCAAATCTCAGCCTGAGATCAGCCTACTTAAGTCATGTGGTTGTGTCACAATGGTGTGATGCAAATTTCATAATTTGTCCCTTTTGCCCTCCACTACTGCCAAAAAACTTTTGGTCCTAGAAGCTTTTGGTCTTCAGTTCTTCTCAGAAGCAGGACTGGCTGTTGGGAAAGAAGACAATGCTGTCTCTGAATTGCAAAGTGACAATTTTTAAGGACTTGGGGCAAAAAACCAATTTCATGAAGTATTCCAAGAGCAGTAAATATAGTGTTTTAGTCCATTTTTATTTTTTTTGTTCTGGAGATGCTTAAAAAGGGCTTGCCCAATTCATTTTGGCAATGCTTTCCCCTGAGGCTTAATGCCCATTTTGGATGACTTATTCTTTGAATCCTACAATTTTTCTGTAAGCCTACATTTATCTGCACTGTTGTGTTTTCTAATCAAGCAAATGCTACTTTAAAGTGACATTTCAGTGCCAGTGTTGTAATCTTGGATGACTGAGGCCTGTACAAAATATCACTGCTGTGCTTAAATTGTCTTTGGTTTTCCCTTCATTTAAGACAGGGGTATCAAACTCGATTTCATTGAGACCGCATCAGATTTGTGTTTGACGTTGGGCCGGGGTGGGTGTGACCAGAATGGGCATGGCCAGCATGATATCACTTGTGTTGGGGGGCATTTATGGTGGCCTGAGTGCTCTGCCAGCGAAAATGGGCTCCCGAGCTCTGTTTTGGCTGCAACAGCTTCCTACAATCCTCTGCCAGTGAAAACGGAGCCTTGGGAGACTGCACGTGACCTGCCCGAGCTCCATTTTCACTGGCAGAGGCACTGTGGGCCGGTCCTTCATTATTTCCAGAGGAGCCCCGCGGGCCAGATCTAAGCCTCCCATGGGCCGGATCCAGCCCCTGGACCTTGAGTTTGACACCCCTGATTTAAGAGGAAGGGAAATGTGCTTTCTTTCTTTTAGTCTTGTTCTAATAATCCTGAAGAAGGAAAAAGGGTGGGTGGGAATAATATTAGTGGGGGAAAATCACTGCTATATTGAACCTCAATGGTTTAAATTGGGTGAGGCGCAGCTGGTGGTGGGTGCATGAGACTTGATTTATGATTTATGAATGATTTATCACTCTTTACATTGAATTTCCATACAGCATGTTTAAAGAACTACAATATTTCTTTAGAAGTAGAATAAAGAGAGGAGCAATATCAGAAGGCCAATGATTACTTTAGAAGCACCCAATCATAAAAATATTGTGGTGCGTGATATTATTTTTGTAGAAATAAATATATTATTAACTATGGGTTAAATTTTATGAAACAGATTATCACTTAATGATGAATTGATTCAATCAGTTAATTTCATGTGCATTTCATCCATCCTTTAGATCAGGGGTTCCCAACCCCCGGGCTATGGTTCCACTACCAGGCCATGGCCTGTTCAGAATTGGGCTGCACGAGCGGTGGGTCAGCACACATGCGTGCATCTCTACTCATGTGAGTGGCAGGCTGGCATGTGCGCACACATCTCAACTTGTACAAGTGGTGATCCGGTGCACGCACAGGCCAGTTCCCCTCTTCCCTCCCTCCCGCCGGGCTGCCAAGCCATAAAGGTTGGAGATCACTGCTTTAGATGGAAAAACAGCTTTTCCAGGAGACCAACTTTAATATGATAATGTGTGAATATTCATCTTGTTTGCATGTCCAGAATTGGTATATAGGCTTAGATGCTTTTCTTTGGGCATATATTTTATATCATTGTAGGCATTCAATTAGATTAGGAAAGCTGGTTAAAAAGGTCTCTGAACAGCAGGAGCTAAGAACCAGTCTGGCACCACAAGGTGGAGCTTGAACACAAGTAACTGGATGTAGTGTGTGTGTGTGTGTGTGTGTGTGTGTGTGTGTGTGTTTTGCATTTGCTTTACAATGTCAAATATCTTTGGTGCTTCCAGGCCAAGAGGAGAATGTACAACAATCTTACCCCTAATGGATTTGCACAATAGGTTCAGACTCAGTTTTATTCTATCAATAGTCCTTTGATTTCTCACTATTCTTGTATATATTTTCCTAGCAAAATCACAACAACAACAACAACATTAAAAATACCACTAATATTGGTGGGTGAATAAACATACAATATCTTTGGTGTGTTTAATTTGGATCATGAGATAGGAAGTTCAACGTGGAAAGCGATTTGCTTAGCTTCAAACTCCATTATAGAGACTTTGCAGCAGATGAGATGTGTTTTGGGTCTTCCCTGTCTTATACTTCTTTCATTTTATTTGCCACAAGGTATTTCTAGATGACAAGTACCTTGCGTAACCACAGAATTTCAGGAAAGCAGAGGCTAATATCCTAATTTATCATTGTCCTGTGTTTTCTCACCCTGCTTTCTGTCTTTCCTACTGAAAATCCATTGGAGTAGGAGAAAAAAAGATGAACCAATCTTTTGAAAGGTACCGCTAGGACCCTCTGCCTAGATTACCCCTTTTGTACTTTTCTCCTCTAAACCTGCCTATGCAGGAGATCTTTTAATTGGCATATTTGATACTCTGAAGTTGGAAGCTGTTGGGGTTCCACTTTGCTTGAAATGACAAAATTCTCTATCATATTAGGGAAACATGGGATTCAATTATACGCCAATTCTTATTTGATCTTTATAATTATGGTAAATTAAAATGATGGGTCAACTCAAATTTGAAAAGAACAAAACAGTCTTTAGAAGGAATGATATATTAGTTCAATTAATAAGGTGATTTATTCATTTTTCTTTAGGAGTTACTGGAAAGTGCAGTGGAGATTATCATGAATATCAAATTTGTGGCATTATGTTGGTGTTTTTCCAAGCAAGGCAATTACTTTGCACCATTAAAAGTTAAATAAGATATGCAGGATAGTTTTCAGATAGAAACAGAAGCACACCTCAATTTATACAAGGTCACGACTGCAGACTGCTCTTTGTTCATCTTAATTTTTCTTTGAACTTCAACCAGGGGCAAGTTTCCGTATTTCTTTATATGCCCTTCTCAGGCTCCTTGTATAAGTTGCTCAAGTATACATTGTCCATTTAAGTAGAAAACTTAACTTGTTATGGATCCCTCTTGAATTCTCCCACAGAACTCCCATGGTAGACATTTTATTTCTTCTCTCTGTTTTCTTGCTCAGTAAGCTCTAGCCTTGAAATCTGGCTGACTTATATTCTTCTGACAGTCTCTGCTTACTGAGCACAAAACATTCTATCTCCCACAACAAGCAATTAGCAGCTCTTAGAACATATCTTTGTAATCAGCAGCTATTCAGGAGACAATCTTTTCATTCTTCGCAATTCAGCTGTTCTGACCTAGGCTTCCTTAGAAAGCATACAGCACAATCTTAGTTCTGGCAAACTTCTTTTATTCAGATGGCTGTGAATTATTGTCATTCCCAGTCCAAAAGGCTTCTCAAACAGTCTTTCAGGGGAGTGTTTACGAACACCCACTTTATCTCCCTTGGAATGCTACCAGAGAACTAATTGCCACACGCAGGGCAAGGCCAAACTTAGCACAGAGTCAAACAGAACTTTTCCAAAGCTTTTACTGACCAGATAAACTAATTGCTTCCTGCAAAAGCTCACATCCCGTTAACTTCTCTTTTATGTCTTATGGGAGGAGCCAATCATCTCCAAGCCTTACTCCCAAATCGACCCTGTTTTCTTAATTGTTCCTGTCTTCTGGCAGCTCTGTGCATGCACACACTGGGAACAGGCTCATGCTGTTCTTCTGCGTCACTGATGTCAGACTCCGAAGACTCCGGAGGCAGCAAAGAAGTACCAGGTGGCCTTGGTCCCCTCTCTGCCTCCAACTCAGAGCCCTCGTCCAAGCCTTTCCCAGACTCCAGGACTGGCCCACGTTCCTCCCCAACCTCCTCACTGTCCAAATCTGCTGCTAGCTCTGCTGGCTGCTGGCGGGCCACAACATCAGCACACAATGCTTGAGACCACACAACTTTGAACATTCTCCTTTCTTCCTTGTTTCTTCTTGCCATTGAACTCCTTTGTTCAGCTCTTGTTTGCTTTCAATCTTTCCAAGATCAGCAAAGCTTCAATTCATCTTAACACACCACTTTTTTGCACTTTAAATCACCCTTTCTTCTAAAACTATAACAAAAAGCATTCCGGTCTGATCTCACTAAAGTGATATGTGTTATACCACCACATTACAATATGACCCTCAGAAATTGGAAGAAGGGGGGAATGACAGCATTAGCCCCTGACCATAAAAATATTGGTCATTCCTGCTCTACCTGGTTAAATAAACACCATGGATAATGGTGTTTAAAACAAACAATTACTCAGAGCAATAAATATTCTGAAAGTCAAATATGGACCATGTTATAGAAAGCTAGATTAATTAGAAATTATAAACTAGTGTGCCACATTGATGAATTTTAGTTGAACTGCCTAATGTAAATAATAATAACCTTCAAAATAATAATCTTGAAGGGGCCTGGTGGCGCAGCTGGCTAATAGCCTGTTATTAACATTCAGCTGCCTGCAATTACTGCAAGTTCGAATCTCCCCAGGCTCAAGGTTGACTCAGCCTTCCATCCTTTCTAAAGTAGGTAAATTGAGGACTCAGTTTGTGGGGGGCAATAAGCTGACTTTGTATAAATATACAAAAGTATAAAGGCTATTGCTTAACACATTGTAAGCCGCCCTGAATCTCCGGAGAAGGGCGGCATATAAATCAAATTAAATAATAATAATAATAATCTGAGCTTTGATTTTCTGCCTTACTATACTTTTGCAATTCAACAACTCAGCTGAGAAGAGATCCACACACTTAGTGACATAGTCCAGATTAGCACCATCATATTCAGCAAGAGGCTTAAGGAAGGGAGAGCCATACTCTTTACTCTTTATTTGAAATCCAAAACAAATCTCTTTTTCCATTGCAAGATCAAATACATCCATGAAAAATTCTTACTATCATTTATTGAAAATAGCAAACCTTTGCTTTAATATTTGCTTCAAGTAAACTGCTATCTCTGTGAAACTAAAAATCGGTCTGGAACTGGATCAAAATGATTTCATTATGGAGAATGGGAATGAAGTAAATTCTTTAAAAAAGATGCCTCTCAGGATTACACAGAACACATTTTAAAGAAAACTATATGTAAAATAGTGTTATGGTATAACTTTCTGATGATCTTATTTGAAGAAAATGTTTCCTGCAAATAGTTTTTAAAAGTTTAGTTTTAAAATCTTCACATCTTAATAAATTACAGAATTCTGTGAGGCCCAGAATTTATGTGATAGTCTATCTGCTTTGAGATTATGTTAATAATATATTAACTAACATTAATTGTATTAATATTAAATATAACATCAAATTAATATTAAATATCAACAATATTGATATGAAATAT